GTTCTGTGCTGGGAGCCGGCGGCGGCGCCGGGCTGGGGAGCCGCTTCAGCAGCGTCGGGGCGAGGCCGGGGCGGGCGCGGAGCTAGCGAGGGGGCGGGGCCGCCTGGGGCTGTCAGCGGGGCACAGCGGTGCCCCAGGCAGCGGCCCCGGGCTGTGGCTCTGACCAGGGAGGGCAGCGCGTCCTTATCGAAGAGCACAAGCCCAGTGTGTCTGCCCCCGCCACCTCCAGGTCTCAAACAAACCCAGCAGAGGAGCCGAGGTCTCTAGCTCCAGCTCTGTAGAGCTGCCGGGCTTTCCTGGAAGCCTGTTGGCGGCGCCTGACCGCACAGTCTCCGTTCAGCTTGTGCTGAACCGTGGGCTTAGGCACCTTGCTCGGGCCTGCAGCAAACAGCTAATCCCCGACACGCAAGTGTGTGCATTTATATTTATATCCCAGATAAAAAGAGCGGCGCGCTCCAGCCTGTGACAACTGCAATTTCTCATCCGAAACATTGGCAGTGGTGTGAAGTTGTCTAATTTGTGTAGCAAAGTAAGTACAGGTTGATTCCTGTAGCCAAATGTATTTCAAATGAGTGTTTGGGGAGTGCGCTGCTCTTAGCAATGTCTTTAAATGCAGATGTATCAAGCTGGGTTTCATGTACAGCCCTGTAGACGAGGCCCTGCTGCTAGGCCCATCCAAGAGGAGCTGTAATGATAAAACGGGTGGGAAACAGGAAAGAAGGGTGGGGGGGAAAAAGCCCTTGGTGAAAGGCTTGTGCAGCACAGACATGAAAGAAAGTATAAGGTCTAAGGTATGGTCATGGTTAGTGTCATGAGCAGCGTATCTTCCAGACCTCACCAGCTTGTCCTCTGTCCTTCTCTTAAGAGAGGCTGACGTGCTATTTTGAAGTCTTGTTCAGAAGGCTAGCCAGCCGGCCAGAGTTTCTGCTGGTCTTGTGCAAGGCAAACGGGTATTAGGGTTCTGGGACCAGGTGCAGCTGATGTAAAGGATCAGGGTAGGATCACTACGAGGCTCCCATGCTTTCATATCAAAACTTTTCTTCTTTTTTTGTGAGGAAATAGTATGGGCTTAGCCTTTGCCATTGAGAGAGGTGCAAGGGTGGACAGTACACTTTTCTGTATTTCTTGGGGTCTTGATGCCTCATTTGAATGATGAGCAGTTCCAGAAAGTGATAATGAAAGTACGTGTGGAGCCTTTGCTATATGAATTACTGCTTTAAGCAAGTTCTAAGAATGATGATTAGCTGAACTGGGAAGCAGAACCTGTTGTATTTACTAGACTTTTCTGCTCTGGAAAGCCTTAAGTTATCAATCCAAACAGTAAGTTATGGTCATGGTTAGTGTCATGAGCATCAATACTTTAGTCAGTCACATGTGAGAGAGAGAAGGGATGAGAGCAGTCTTTCTAAAGAGCTGCAGTATTAGAACTTCAGGCACAACTTCACCAACCCTGTTCCCTGGTCCTGCAACAAGGCTGATGCAGATTTTGGGACTTGGCCTGAGCACAGGTGCCAGCATTCATGGCAGTTTAGTGAGGTGGAGATTTTCTCCACCTTGGGATGTCCTTTTTGTTTGTTTGTTTTCCTTTTGTGGTAGAGTTTGATTGTACTGAATTCCCTCCTCCTGTTAAAAAAAAAAAAATTATAGTGGAAACAGGCAGTTATGGGGTGACTGCCTTTTTGGATGCCAGCGGCTGATCTTTTCCTTTTCCCTTAGGGGGAAGCTGGGCCGGTATCCTCCATGGCCAGGAAAGGTGAGTCATATTTTATCCTGGAGGGAATTGTTTCTGAAAAGAGTTCCAGTGAAGTTTTAAGTTTTTTATAGATTTCTTCTTGACTTTTTTTTTAGTGAGGCCTGTTGCCCTTAATTTTGAGCCAAGCTATGCATCAAAGACTTTATTTGATTCAGAAGCTCAGTCTGTCAGTAACAGGTATTAGCTGAGATAGAATGAAAAGTAGTACAAACCAATTTATCTGAATCTGGAACTGATTGTATTCCCCAGGCTTAGCAATTTAATCCCTATCACTTTCAGCAAGACAGGTTTCTTTTCTCCCATAATAAACTGGCTACATGGATTCCTTTAACTAATAGAAAGGGAGAGTCTGGTTTCCCATACTAATGTTTAGTGTTACAGTTTTGTCATTACTTATCTAGAGAAAGGTGGGATGGGGAGAATGTAATTGTTGATGAAAGGCATATATCTAGAAGGGAAGTAGTATTTGCATTTTAGTCAAACTGTAGCCACTGTTTATGTTCCTTAAAAGAGTTATATTTTTCATTTTAATGTAAGCACAATTGAGACAACAGGTTAGGCCTTGTTTTTGCTAAGGAAAAAGTTACTGTTATCCTAGTGCAGGCAAGACAGTGGTAACAATCACACAGGTTAGCAAGCCAGGTAACACAAACTGGCCTGTGGTATTTCATTCCACCTGCTAACTTCTGTGACATGTGTTTCTCTTCCCTTGGATTTTACATGTGGTTAAAAACATTGTCTTTACTTCAAGGAAAAAAATAAGAACAATCAAAGCCTTGGATGGTAGAAATTTTCTCACTGGTGCAAAAATTTATAAATGCATTCTTGGTTCCCGTAAATAAGGATACCATCTTTACTTATGGAGACAAGAGAGAGAATATCAAGTTTATGATATCTTGGAAGAATGTAGCCTTGCAAAGGGTCCACTGGTCTATTAGTGGAGTTTGGTTGTTTTTTTTTTACTTCATGCAGTGCTAGTATAATTCTGCAGCTTGTCATGTTCTGTTCATCTTGAATTGCATCTGCTCTCTTAAAGCACCAGAAGTCTTGGTTATTGAAGACTAAAATCTCCATTAAAATTTTGGAAATTGACAGCTATGACCAAAGTCTGGTTTTATCTCCTAAACAGTAGTACAAGTCTGTAATGGGATCAGTGCTAACTCTTGATACAGTGCTCTGAGTGACATAATGTAGGATGTGCCTGTACTGCAGATTATAGTATAACAGAGGTACTCAAGCTAGCTTTAAACAAACAGATCAGATACTGGACACAATCTAGTTTTAGCAGTGTTCCTCATTGGCTAACTTCTTCTGCTTAGAAGAGAAAGTTAATTGCCACAGAGGTCTGTGCTGCTGCAGCTAAAACTGCTTCTGGAATCTGAGCTAGGTTGCATTTACTCTGTTGCTGTCTGTAGAGTAAACATGCCTGTCCAAATTCATGGCTCCTGGGCTTGAGGGAAGGCCTTTGCCATAAGTAGGAGTCCCCCTCCTACTCTTGCTTAAAATAATTCTTCTGCAAGAGCCATGGCACAGTTTCTTGCAAACATTCACTGAATCAACATACTTGGTTCACAGAAGATTCTGCTGCTGCCTCTTCAACTAACTTTGTCTCCTCTTTCTTCCTCAGATTGTTAATCCACCTAAAGATCTGAAGAAGCCTCGTGGAAAGAAGTGCTTCTTTGTCAAGTTTTTTGGGACAGAAGATCAGTATGTATCCACATTTCTATCTGATGACAATTTTGGCCTTTAAAACATAGGACTTTCATGGAAGAGTTTTATGCTAGTACAATATTCTGCAAAAGATTGCTTTCAGCTATCTGCCAGCACCAGGCATAAACTATAGCTGTTATAGCCTCTCCTGTGGGTGCATGATGGTTGAAAAGACCTAGACAAGTGTGCTATGATTTTAGCTGGTGCTAAAACAGGGAGTTTTGGGGAGTTGGTCACTTGTAGGTATGGATGTGTTTGCATTAGCTTTCATGTAACGTACCATTTCTCAAATATACTTTGGGTGTTGTGTTGTTTTGCTGCCATAAATACAAGGTGGCTTCATTCCTGTCATTGTTAAAAAGAGTATATTATGATGTTTGATAGTATAAAACTTTCCTGCTCTGCGTTTGGAGGACAGGGTAGCTCCAGTGTGGCAGAATAATCACTCCTGTAAGAAATAATTTTGTGATTTGCTACACAAAAAAATTACACTTGTTTTTAACAATTATGCTGTTACAAGTAATTTAACATTCCTTAAATTGAAAGAAGTTGGTAAAACCATCCTGCTTTAGTTTGGCTTGTGTATTTGACAGTGTCGTTGTGTTTAGTCAGCTTTGCTGTTTCCCTCAGTCATTAAAGGAGGGAGAAAATCATGAGTGGAAAAGACTTTTGTAAATCTCCACAGGAATTAGGAAAATCCTTTAAGTCTTTTTTTTTCCTAAAGAGTTAAATAAAAGTGGGGATGTATGTTTAAAGGACATTCTGTCAGAAAATGGATTGTTTTCAGCTTTTTTTGTAAGCCAGCATTTAAAATATATTTTTCCTTTAAGAGCTGGAAGCAAGTTAGCAGTCAGGGCTGGAAACAGAAGCCACATACCAGTAGAAGAGGAACTGCTTGCTTTAAAGTACTGTAAGATGACTTTTATTAGCTAGGATCAATTCTGAGGCTGTATTGGCCCATTGAGCTTTGGAT